ATGTCATTATATGTTATAAAATTAATGATAAATATATATATAATTATATATTATACATATAAAATAAATAAATAAATTATATATTAGTTAAATCGGTTGGACCGGTTCGACCACTGGTCCGACCATTGATCCATTGAACCAGTAGCTTCACCGGTTCGATGACCGGTCCGGTTTTGAGAACATTGGTTGCAACCGTGTCTTTAATGATATAATATATTTATTTAAATATTTTCATTTTTATTTTTCTAATTTATTTTGTAAGTATATGAATATTATTAGTTTTTAGTTTATAAAATAATATAGAAATCTAATATTTAAAATATAATGAGTGTTACAAATTACTTGCATGTACTTACATAATTATCGATAATATTAATATTATAGCGATTCTAGCAATTCATATTTTGCATATTGCTCGATAAAGTGACCGAAATATTTGGGCGGAAAAATTTGTGTGAACTCTATATATATTTATATAAAAAGGTTGTTAGAAAAATACATAAATAGTTGTTTTGACTTTTTAATTAAACAATTTGACTTACTAATTAAAGAAATATTTTAAAAAATGGTTTTTTCCCTTAAAAAAATGCTGTTAATTTTATACAAAAGTTTTCTAATGTGAATTCAAGCTATGTTAATAATCCAGATTTTGAATTCAAATTGACCCTCAATTCCGTCAAATTTGTCGAAAATGTATTTAGTTTATCCCCATAATATGTGATTATATTTTTTTAATTTCCTTCAATGATACTTCAAAATATAGTTTGTGTTTATCCCAACAAAAGACTTGACTTCTTAAACATGCTATTAAAAAAACTATGGTTTGAAATTTGAATATATTCGTGCATATCGTCTTTCAATTAAGAAAAAATAATTAAGACATTTGGTGCCCATTTTCATATCAGTGTGTTGAACAATAACTTTTTTTTTTCTTTAAAATCTATAAAACGCAACTGAATCCCATTTTTTGTGTGATATGAATATTAAACTTGATTGGGAAAAAAAAAAGTCAATAAAAATATACAATTTGTTTGATTGGCAAAAAAAAAGTATTATGGGATATATTTTGATTGTGATAAGATATTGTAATTTCAAAAAAACTATTTCAAAAAATTAGGTGCAAATCGACTATGTTAATTAAATTAGTCAATATTTGTTTGTACATGTTTATTTAACCACAAAATATTTTGAAAGTTCAGAAAGAATATCATATTATGTGGATTCTTTTTATTTCATTATATGAACTACATAAAATGAAAAATGCCGTGGAGTAAAATAAATAAATAATCAAGAAAATTAAGTGGATGTACGTGCAGTGTGCGTGAGTTATTACTTATATTTATTATTTACATATATCCTTTAACAAATAATATCAAGTCCAATCGGCTTTGTGGAATGGAGAACTAAAAATAAGATCTTAGCAATTGCTAGATTGAACTCCATAAATCTCATTTTTGATTGTCGAGAATAATATAAAATAAATAAACAAAATAAAACAATAGCCCTCATTCCACTTCTTTGCCACCGTACCCAAAGGCATACGCGCACATAGATTCAACAAGGGGCGATCCGGCGGTGGCAAAATAATGGCACATGGCGGGGGACGGCGTCGAAGAAGAAATAGACATATAATTGGGAGGAAGAAAGAAAGAAAATGAGAAAAATATTTACCTCTATAATGAATTGTGTGTTAAAAGAGTCGTAGGGTGAAGGGTATTTATACTAAATTATTGGGGCCAATTTAAGAAAGCAAAATCAAAAGGATTTTGAAAGATGTATAACTATGGTGTAATATAAATTGAATTCAATCTTGATTGAGACAAAATCCATAAATTGGCCTTCATAAAATACTAAAAGGAATAATTAATTTTTAAAATAATAAATAAGTAATTAAAAATGTTTGGAAAAAAATAGATAAGGTAGGGAAATAATTACGGGTCATTGTCTAATATGATATGTTCATTATCTAATTTATGTTTTTAAATTTTACATACACATGAATAAAACCTATACAATTTATGAAATATAATATATTCTCCATCTAACTTATGCCTTTAAATATTACTTATACACATATAATTTTTATTTAGGAGTTTTATCAATACAAGACCTGAAAGATGGGTAAACTATAAATGCGGGGTCTGATTTTTTTTTTCTCAATTCGATACTTAAATGTTGTAAAACTATCAAATTAAAGACCAGAAAGATGGGTAAACTATCAATAAGGGGCCTGGAAGATTTTTTTTCTCAATTCGGGATTTAAATGTTATAAAACTATCAAATTAATTATAGAATTAACAAAACTCATAACACCATTAAATTTAAAGTTAAAAAAAAAAATAAAAGTTTGACGTTTACTCACATAAAATAATAAGTAAACATTTGCATAATATTAAAAAAAATAAATAATGGATGGTAGCAAGAAAACCGAGCAAGAGTTTCATACTTTCCTTAATTTTCTCCAACAATATCGTATTTTCTTTAATTTTCTTCATTTTTCTTTTTTTTTTTATTTTTTTACTTTGTAACAAATTTGGTGTTTTAAAACATCAAATTATTCATAAATTTAATGGTGTTATGTGTTTTGTTAATTATAGACTTAATTTGATAGTTTTATAATATTTAAGTCTGGAATTGAGAAAAAAATATTTCAGCCCCGCATTGATAGTTTACTCATCTTTCGAGTCTTTAATTTAATAATTTTGTAACATTTAAATCCTAAATTGAGGAAAAAATATCTTTCAAGCACGTAGATAATTTACCGGTCTTGTATTGATAAAACTCCTTTTATTTATCATTGCAAGTGTCCTGGACCAAATATTAGTTTTGGACCTTTGGTGGCCCATGATTTTTTCCTTCACAGCAAAGCCGTTGTCCCGATTACTCTTTGCTTAGCGACTACGATTTGCCGGTCGTTTTGGTTTGCAACAGGGCTTTTCGTTTCCTTCTCCCACGAATTCCTCAGCTCAGTTTTGCTATCCATTCGACGGATCCAGTATTCGCGTCATGATGCAGAACTGGTTTTCCGGAGGCGCCGGCGACAATGAAAAATCCCTTCAGACGACGCCGTTTTCCTCGTCCCCTTCCCTGCTCGCCGATTGGAACTCGTACTCAGCCGCCAGATCTTCCGAGGAGAGTAGCAGCGCCGCCTCCTTCGCCGGTGTGTTCGACATCGAATCAGCTGTTAGGTCCGCAAACGACACCGTATCAGGCACCTTCAATGTGTAAGATTCGTTTTCATCCTCCTCCAAAACCAAAATTCACAGTTTTACATAGTTGCCCGCTCATTGAGATTGATCTATTTCATGATTTGTTGCTTTGAACTGTACGTTGAAATCACGGTAGGGAAGATTAGTGAAAATCTGCAGTCAGTCAGTCCTCTACAGTGGGGAGTTATATTGGATAGTGATATGTGATGAATTGAAGATATGTTCATGGTTAGTGCGATTTGGGGTAATTTAAATGCGCTCTTGAATTGTGTAAATTAGAACATTGCTGAGAATATGTCACCAAATAACAATTTAGCAGTTAATGTTAAATGACCTTGATGAATGAGGGATTAAACCTGTGTGCTGAGCAATTTTTAGAGATCGTGACGAAATCATCAGCTGATTAAACCTGTGCGGCCTTGTTCCTCTTTCTGATTTTACTACAGGAGTTTTTACCATTTCTACGAGCCAGATAGCTTGAGAAGTGTTCCACTATTTTTAAAGATTAGCTTTAGTTGGATTGAAATTCTATCACTAAATTGAACTTGTATACATTAATATGGTCTTAACCCTATTGGCAGGTGAATATGGTTTTACCTTTGGTAAAACTAGGTGATAGTTTATAAGTGTTTCGAGCTTATAGCTTATAGCTAAAAAGCTAGCTTACATGATAAAAGTGTGGTACAATTAGCTGACAAGCTACCTGATACAAAAAATTCAACGAGCTTATTTGAAAAGTTATCCAAAGAAGCTTATGAGATAAGAAGCTCGTCCTACCAAACGAAGTTTATTTGAATACGGGAAGCTTATAAGCTAATCAAATAAGCTATAAGCTAGCTTATTTTTCTACCAAACATAGCCCTAATAATGAATATAATTGTTGAATCAGGTCTCAGGTAGATGATGAGCAATGGGAATTTGTTTGACTTTAGTTTGCATGACGTTCATATGAGTGATGAGTAGGCATACAACCATCAGTATTCATCCTTATGTATAAGTCCATAGTTTCGCGAGCCTAAGTGTCAACTATTGATACTTTATAATTATATGTGTCGATTTTTTATGCTTTGAAATAATCTATGCGAGCCTAAGTGTCAACTATTGATACTTTATAATCATATATGTCGATTTTTGATGCTTCGAAATAATCTATGCGAGCCTAAGTGTCAACTATTGATACTTTATAATCATATATGTCAATTTCTGATGCTTCGAAATATCTATATTTTGTAGCTTAGTAACCTTATTTGTTATTTTTTTTTTTTTTTTTTTTTT